CTCCTAGCTACCTATCCTCTCTTAAAAGCTGAATGCGAAGCTAGAAAGAGTTCTGAGGTGTGGCCTGAGATCCGTCATGGAGCTTCGAAATTTTGCTTAGCTTCTTCGACTCCGAAAGCTGAACATATACCCAATGGATTAGCGTCGGCGCCGTGGAGATCTTATCTACACCAGACGGATCCTAAGGGAACTTGGGAGTGAGGTAAAAAAGCATATTCGGCTCAACGTGGCCGTCGCAACGAGACTGGACTTTAACGTGGTGCAACGGTTTGCGTACCTCCTTGACCCGTTGAACTATACCGGGTGGTGTCTGCGGGCACCTTGAGAGATACTCCTACCAGGTTGGTCAATGGTGAGAGGTCAGACAAACTCAGTCCCCTGGTCCTCCAGGTTGGGGTTTGAAATGGGATGACGTCCACTTCTGTAAAACTAAATCATTGCCACCTCTCCGCTGCCTTGCGGCCAGGGGTTTGGGCCAAAGGCTTTGGATGAGGACCCTAATCGTCCTCCTGTCTAGGTCTGGGCGCCCTGGCAGTATCCCAGCCCACACAACCATGACTTTTGCTTCAAACATAAACTTCATCCTGCATCCGCTGTCGCGCAGATTATCAAAGAGCGCCTTATCTGCTGCATACAGTAGGGTGGATAAGCGAAAACATGCTACTGCTGGCGTCTCCCTTCTTTCTTTTCCATTTGCTTCTCTTACTCCCATCCCGACCCCCATTACTAACCATCCTTCTATAATCGACAGCAACCGAAGTGCCACTGGAGTAGGACCATCTGCAGCCACCATCCCACAGCACCTGCCTTTCGACAAAAGTCCCTTATAGGGCCATGCTGTTCAGTTTCCATGGCGACGTACAACGTTCACACTCTAAGACAAAGTGGTCAACAGGTTGCACTCGCACGCGCCTTGGACACACTGGGTATGGATGTGTGTTGTGTGTCCGAAACTGGGAGCAATGAGCCTAATGGGGTTGTTGAATTAACTGCACTTGGCCTATCGTCTCGTTATTGATTGCACGCATCCGGAGATGCCGATGCAGCACTCACGGGTCAAGCTGGTGTAGATATCATCCTAAGCTCCAAGGGTAAGCCATCGTTTGTTGATTGGATGCCGGTGAAGTGCCGTTTATGTGCAGCCCGTTTGACGACATCAGCTAAGGTTGATTCAAGAAGTAGTACAAAATGCTGTTTTTTGTGATTTCCGTTCATGCTCCCACCGACTGCAGTTCAAATGCTGTCAAGGACACATTCTATCACGAACTGAACGCGCTACTACGCAGTGCTGCTAGTTCAGATGTTATAGTACTTGCAGGGGATATGAACGCACAAGTAGGGCGCCTGAGCTCTTCAGAAGCTCAGCTGGGTGGTAATTATGGGCTTAACTCCGAACGGATTGACAACGGTGAGCGTCTGCTGCAACTGTGTGCGGATCACCAGTTGTCTCTTAGTAGCACTGCTTTTGGACACAGTGGGCATCGAAGTGCCACTTGGTGTGCTGCTGTAGTTGGCCAGCGATGGACTCAAATTGACCACGTTGCCATAAGTTACAGATGGCGTAGTTCCGTCCTGGATTGCCGCTCGTACTGGAGTACCTGCATCGACTCTGATCATACCTTGCCTTGGTACGCTGTTGTTTCTCCATGAACTTTACCGGGAAGCGCACCAAGCGTCCCCTCCGATTAGCATGAAAAAATGAAAAAAATGAAATGTGTCAGCTTATACGCCGTAACGGCGCTTCGCTGCCGCGCGACCACCACCAGTCGCGCGCGGGCTGAGTATACCGCGAGGACGCCCACCCCTACGCGGATTCGAACCGGTGACCTTATGGTTGGAAAGCAAACGTGCCAACCACTCGGCCACCGGCCGATTAGCAACTGAGAAATTGTCTCAGCCCTAGGTCAGGCAAGCCTATCAAGACGTACTGCGTGGAGAACTTCCGCAGTCTTGCCCTAATGATACTGAGCTTCAGTGGAATAGGATCTCGGCCGCCATGCACCACGCAGGAGCATCTGCTTGTGACACTATCCATCGTCACCGCACCAGTCACTGGATATCCGAGAGGTCGGTGAACCTGTTGGAATCTAGAAGACACCTCCCGGCTGGCTCTGAACACAAGGTGACCAGACGGGCTATTAGGCGTGAACTAAAGCGGAGCTTACGTGCTGAGAAGGAAGCCTGGTGGATCAGTACGGCTCAGGAAATGGAGGAGGCAGGAGCAGTAGGCAATTACCGCAAGCTCTTCCAGCTGATCCGAACCACTGGTCCCAGGAAACCAGACGTCAGTGAGACAATCAGAGACAGCGCGGGTGCAATGATACACAATAAGGAACGCCGTATGGCTCGTTGGGCTGAACACTTTCAAGATCAGTTCAGCTGGACCCAAGCTCCCGGACCTCTTCCTACTCAGGAGAGGCAGGATGAGCCATGGACGGTTAGTTTAGAGCGTCCATCGGGTGCCTAGGTCCGAAACGGGATCACAGCCCTCAATCGTTTTCGTGCCGCTAACCCGCATTTCCTCCCACTCGCACTATTTATGGATGGAGGTGAGGACCTCTGCAGGGCACTGACCTCCCTATTCGAAAGTATCTGGAAGTGTCTCGGCTAATTGGAGCGAATCGATGACAGTAGAAATATACAAGAATGGCAGTTGCACACATTGTTTTAACCACAGGGGCATTAGCCTAACGCTAGTTGTGACAAAATTACTGGCCTCGATTATCGTTCGTCGCCTCACTGTGGAACGGGAATCTCGGATCAGGCAAGACCAGGCCGGTTTCCAACCAGGGCGTGGCTGTATAGACCATATATTCATATTGCGGCAGGTGCTAGAGCAGCGCCACGTATACCGCAGACCGAGAACAACTGTGTTCCTTGATTTCAAGGGTGCGTTCGATTCAGTCGATCGATCGATTCTGTTCGAAATACTTGCGCGGAAAGGTGTTCCCACGAAATCTGTGAATATTTCACGTACTCTATAGTCGGACACTACAAGCCGCGTCAGGGTCTACGGTGGCCTACCGGATAGCTTTCCGACAACGTGTGGCGTTCGTAAGGGTTGTCCGATTTCCCCATTTCTGTTCAATTTCGTCATGGATTGTATGATGAAGTGTTTCCTTGTGGAATCTCACGATGTAGGCGTTGAAGTGCTGCCTGGTGAAAGGTTAGTTGATCTAGATTATGCGGACGATATCGTCTTGCTTTTCAACGATGTTGCGGCGACACAATCAACCCTGATTAGCCTGTCTAGAGTAGTCACATTATTTGGTATGCACTTCGCACCAGAGCGCAAAGTGTTGCTGCAGGACCACCAGCCACTTTATGACCCCTTGACGCTTGCTAACGAGGAACTCGAGGTGGTTGATCAACTCATTTATCTTGGCAGCTGCATCAGCAACGTTGGGCGCATAGAAAGTGACGTCAGCTCACGCATTGCAAAGACCAGCGCTGCCTTCTTGAACCTGCGGCATTTTTGGCGACAGAAGGAAGTTTCTCTTCGTCTGTAAGGCCGTGCGCACTGGGCCACAGTGAGGGCCGTTCTGCTCTATTGTAGTGAGACTTGGCCCCTTCGGTTTGAAGATCTGAGGCGCCTTCAAGTCTCTGATTATCGTTGTCTGAGAAGCATTGGTGGCGTCAGATGGCACCAGCGTGCCCGCAGCGATGATGTGAGTAGGCGTGTACTAGGTAGCGATAATCATACTATCTCCCTAGAACAACAGATAGCATTGAATAAGTTGCGTTGGCTCAGGTATGTGCTACGTATGCATCGTCACCGCTTACCTAGGAGGGCCTTGTTCAGTCTACCAGGTGTAGGATGGCGCAAGGCTCGAGGTGGACAGAAGTTGACATGGCAGCGTGAAATGAAGTCACTGACGACTAAACTGGGTGCCGTTGGTCCGTCTCGCCTTCCGGACTAGAGTCCACGTGATTCACCTTGTGCTTGGCTCGAGACTTTACAGGACATGGCTCGCAACCGACACCACTGGCGCGTCTGCTGCCGTCTCCTAATCGGATTGTCTGTTTAAAGTGTGTTTGGTGCTGAGATATCTGCGGAGTAATGGCTGATTATGACGCGTGGCAGTGAAAGCCGCAAGGAAGCTGTCTTGCCGATGCCGCCTTATCTTTGCACGACAGCCAGCTGTTTGTGACGGTGTGTTGCCTACACAAGGTGTAGGCGCCTTGACCCTGAATGTTTGCTTAGGGCATTAAGGTTTTCAGTTAAGACTATGTTCTCTCCCTCTTATTCCTCTTTATGGGTCATCATGGTTGTATGGCAGCAAAGCATCGATTCAAATGGCTAATGTACCGCTTTTATTGTTGATGATGATGATGGCTCAACGTGGACAGCTCGACACGTGGCTGATGCACTGACAGGAAAGTTTCGAACGGCTGCTTGACTGCCATCTGATGAGTACGGCGACGATCCCCAAGAGAATGCCGTTTGACAGACAGTTGCGTCAAGCCTGTATTGAATCAAAATCGACGGAGCTGACAAGGGTCTTTCCTCCTGATCTCTACATACCAATGAACCAATGTAACACCTAAGTCAGCTTGTTGGGACACGAGGCAATTCTTTCCCGTCAAGTATGCAGCGCGTCGAGTCCATTTGATCCTACGCGCATAACTGAATATTGTGTGTGTTTTATTGGGATTTGCAACAGAACGGACCAGTCAAATTGTCGAGAGCTTGCTTCAAGCTTTGGGAGCCACCAGAGTTCCACCTGAACTTGAAAACTAGCCACCGCTGACTAAGAAAAGGCAATGCCGTTAGGCTTTACTAATAACGCACGACTTCGTCTACAGACAACAATTCAATGCTCATAGATTAAAGAAGCGAAAAATGTTAAAATTTCCGCAGTGTCTACGATCACTGCCTCCCAACCATACTTTGAAAGCAAGTCATGACATGACTGTAGGTGACAAAAAGAAACACCAAAATTATCTTCGTAGAAATAATGCTAGGTTCGACAAGCTCTACCCAAAACGGACATACTCACCAGCATCAGTCTCCGGCATTACAGACGGGCCCAGGAAGTCGCGCTGCTGATCGGTCAAAGTCAAATTACATTCAGTAAGGACGGGAACGGTTGGATTATTTCGTACGTGTTCCTTCTTCAGCTGCTAGTTGAACCAGGAGCTTGCAGACTTTGAAATACAGACGGACTTAATACAAAGGTCTGCACTACACCCTGTCTAACCAATTATTGCCCACCTATGCTGCCCTAGCCGTCCCTGCTGTGACGGTTATGTAATAAGAAAGCAAAAAAGTAAAAGCAGAGGGCAAATAAAGAAGGTGGATGTATCTAAACAATTATAATACCGATATTTGCATCAATACAAAAGCTTTGCACGCTGAAAATGAGTCCGTAATTAAACAGGAAGTTCAAGTTCGGGTGGGACTGGAACGATAGTTCAAGTTCAAGTTCAAGCGTGACTGGAACGATAGGATTATCCCGTGAGTGTTCCTTCTTCGGCGGGTCGTTGAACCAGGAGTTGGCAAACTTTGAAATACTGATGGATCTAAAACAAAGACCGCATCACACCCTGTCCAATTAATTAATGTCCACGTATCCTGCCTTAGCAGTCCCTGCTATGTCGGTTACGTGAAGTAAGAAAAAAAAGTAAACACAGAAGGCAAAAGAGAAAGTGGTAAGAGCTACGCAAGTGGAATACCAAGATATTTGAGTCATTATAAATAAGAACTGCATAGTGAAGGTGAGTCGGCTAGGGAAAGGAAAGGATTGTTGTTGCCACCCAAGAGCATCGAGCTAGCGCGCAAAAGCCTTAATCCTAACCACGTGATCTGGAGGCGAATTCCAGCGATCTATAACTCGGCGCGATAGACGAGTTTCCCTCCTAATCCTATCAGACCGTGGCTTATGCAGTTTCAGTGGGTGACCGCGGAGATTAGGTAACGTAGCGGGACTAAAACGCCCTGACAAGTCCGGGCCAATCTTTCCCGTCAAAATACGATAAGTGAGAATCAGGTCCCCTCTTATCCTTCGGTAGTGCATTGAGTGTATCCCCAAACTGAGCAAGCGTTCAGTATACGTCTGGCCCCGTAGACCTTGCACTAACCGCGTGCCCCCTCGTAACACCCTCTCTAAGTCCATGTGGTCTGGGTTAAGACATGGTGGACATGCCTGAATACAATATTATAGGTGGGGCCGGCGAATGCCGAAAATAGCTTCACAAACAACTTGGCCGTTAAGCTTCCGAAAAAGCGGCGGATAAACCACATCAAACGAAACCCTTGACAAGCAGCCTTTTTCCAGTTGTCTCCAGAACGAAGTGCTGATGCGTGTACGACTCCTAAATCAACCTGCTGAGTGACAACAGGGAGTTCACCACCGCCGACAACATATCGGGTTGGAGGATTTGCAGCTCCGATTCGGAGAACAGAGCATTTGACCCTATTAATGGACATCACCTATAATGTAGACTATTCCCAGAGCCTATCCAAGGTACGCTGGATTGCCTCAGGACCCCCCGGGATATCCACAATATTCCAGAGCTTAAGGTCGTCAACAAACGTTGTGATGGCACCCCTAGCTCTCTCGGCAAGTCATTTACATAGATGGCAAACAATAATCGCCCCAATACCGAGCCCTGCGAAACGCCACTAATGACAGTTTGCCTGAGCAGAAGGCCAGGCCACACTCGTAAGCACTGTTCCCTCCCCTCAAAGAAGGCAGACACCCTTTAATGGGCGCGACCAGATATCCCGTAAGATCCCAATTTTAGTGAGAGCCGAAGACGTGGGACAGTGTCAAATGCTTTAGCAAAATCCAAGAATAGCACGTATACAGCGTGGCCACTGTATAACGCTTCGGCCCAGTTTTCACGATCTACAAGTAAATAATTAAATAAATCTTTTATTCTCAACATGGTGAGGCACGACTTTACGGGCATGATCATTTTGACATAACGATGCATAATCAAGAATGTGCAAAAATCCGCTATCTTTGCCATTGCAGTTTGTGTTTGTGTAGGGGGTATGTATGTATGTATGTCATTGTGTGTGTATGTGTGTGTAGCTGTGTATTTTGTGCTTGTGGTTGTGCTGCTCCAATCTTCAATGTTTGATATTGTCATGAATATGCGAGTTTGAGGTTGGTCCATGGGTTGGATAGAATTATCCGGATATCCACGTGGCAGTGACTTTATTTTGTGGCATGTCACGACCGCCACATCACAGTGTTGTTAAGCAGCCATTTGTGGCGTTTTATAGGGAGAAGGCTTGCCAGGCCAAACCCACCACGTCCTGGAACACTGCCGCTGAACTATTTGCCGGAACGGATTAAACCCGAACCACCCAGCTGACACCACGAGGAGGTTGTTCGGCTAGCCAGCCGAAAATCCCTTACGGAATCCATGTAGGTATAATATTCATTGCTGGATTTCTAGCGTTACGCGCAATATCATCCCTTATTCGCATACCTTTGTCATGTATGCCTGCAAAGTTTACTTTTTGGCCACCTGCGCAGTCCGTAGTTGTCGCAGGGTATTACGGGCTAATTAGAGCATTTCTGGATAGCTGTGCCTATCTAGAACATACGCCGCTTCCCCACTTTTTATATTCTCTTTTCTTTTTTTGCTATCTGCTTGCGAAGCAGAAAGCCATTTTTAGCGAAAAATAAAAATGGCCTTATTCGTAGACCATCATTTCATTGGGAATAACTCGCAAACTACTGCACATATTGTGCGCTAAAGCTGGTCCAGACCAGTGTAATTTTGTGCTACTTTAAGCGGTATTCTAACTGTAGAAAGGCTTTTTCTTTTATCTGAGAATAACTCAGGTTGAAATTTCGCGCCGGAGAGCAATATCAGCGTAAGAAAAGTAGGGCTATATTTTTTGTTAATTGGGATTTTTCTACTGAAGCACGCAGCCTTATTTTCTCTCTTAACAAATTTTTTTATTTTTGTCTGCATTTATCGGAATTGTTTTCAACTTTCTTATGCCTTATAATCTCTTCACTCATTTCTTCCATGTGCGCATCAACAATTGGGGCAACTGAGTGGCCAATTATTGTGCGATCAATTTAAAGTGAACCTTGGGCAAATTGGATTCTGTTCCAAGGAGAAAAGGCACAACTACACCTCCGCGAAATTTTCACAATAAAAAACAAGGAGCTCAACATCGCCCGAAGGAACCAGAAAAATATCAAGGTGAGCGCCTGCGACCCAGTAGCTGTATACCAAACAATGCTAATGCATTTGTAATTGCTAACGATGAACATATACTCATGTTTTACCTACTTCCATGCAAGAGCATCCGATTAATGTAAGCCTTGATCTGAACCCTTTGGGGTGCAGCCTCTAGCAGGTCTAGAAATATACCTATTTATTTATTTGTTTATATATCACTGAGAAGGTTGAATCGAATCAGGTGGTTTTCCACTGAATCCCTTATCAGCTTTCCAAACAACTTGACTACTACGCTTGTCAAACTGACAGGATGGTAGTTCGCGGTTAGAGCGTTATCACCGCCCTTAAAAATCGGACAGATGATTACCTCCTTCCATTCCGAATGTAGGATGCAGCTATCCAGCGCTATTGAAAACACGCATGTGAGCGGACCACTCAGCTCAGTGGCCAATTCAAGCAAAAGCTTCGGATGAACAGAATCAGGACCGGAAGCTGTAATGAGAAGAATGCCTTGCGGTAGCTCGAAGACCTGAGTCTCCGTTATGCTAAATTCAGCTAAGCAAGAATCCTCTGGAACTCTTGAAACCAATTCAACCGGTGGTAAAGAGGCCTCCCGAGGAAAGGTCCCAGTATACTCATCACTCAGTGTACAAGCCTTGTCATAGTCGGTTTGCGCACGGGTCCCGTCTGCTCGCAATAAAGCTGGTATGGGCAGATTTGCCCCGCTGCCTCTTTTAACGTAAGCAAAAAACTTCTTGGGATTAGCTGCGGCCGAGTCCGCTAAACCCTGCTCGTATTGGAGACGAGCAGTTCTGAGATGTTGCGTACATTTATTTCTATTCTCTAGATAACTATCATAGGTGCTGGCTGATGGAGCTGCTTGGTAGGTTCGCCAGCATCTAGAACGTTTCTTGAGTAGGTACTTGCCTGTGGTATCTATCCATGGAGGCTGTGCCCTGAACCCTTTTTTCCTAATGAGTGGAATATAGGGAGTGGAAGCCTCCGTAAGGTATGCCTTAAATTTATCTCAGGCTAACTGGACAGAATCAGCCATCGAGATCTCACAGTTCAGAACTGAAGCCTTAGCTCGCATTGCACTAAAGTTTGCCCACCAAATATGCAGAAGTAATTCAACAGCGGTCTCTTGGTGCCTTGAAAGAGCACATCGAAAGGATATGCATGCGTGATCGCTGGACCCTAGAGGTGCATCGTGTGAAACGTCAGTCACGAAGTCCAGGGACTTAGCGAAAACCAAATCCAAAGTATATGGTATATGGTTGTCCATATAGCTAGTTGGAAAGTCAACGAACTGGTGCAAAGGCACTTGGCGAGTCAATTCAAGTAAGTCGGCACCGAATGTTCCTAATGCCGAATTGCAAGAAAGATGGGCCCAACAGACTTCCGGGAGGTTGAAATCCCCTAGAACTAAACACTTATCCGCAGACTGAGTGCGAATAAAGTGAAGTATCCCCATGGAAGAACTGCCAGTACTTCTGTATATCACTATAACTGTAAACTGGGTAGAGGAAGTGCACAAAACAGCCGATAGGGCTTCAACAGTCTGATCCGACGACTGGAATGTGCAGGTCCTCAACACATCTAGGTTACAGCTCACATACAGTACAAGGCCTCCGCCTTGGCGACCAACGGAGCGATCAGTTCTAAGCAGCGCGTAGCCAGGTAAATATACCTCACCGTCCGTGATATCCGGAGACAACCACATTTCAGTGAAAGCAAGTATGTCGGGAGGAGATTTGTCTACAAGTAGACCCAACTCGTACACCTTGTTCCTTAGGCTACGCACGTTAAATAAATAAATAAATTGTATATTCCTCGAAGATGCGAGAAGCTGTTCTCTATAAGGAACAGATCAAACAATGGTACAACTTTTCCATGACATATCATCAAT